AGAGAGATATTTTATTTTACAGAAATCGCTTTTTAAGGACTACAACACACGGCTGGAAGGAACTACACGAGCTTCCTCACGGGTTAGTGACATCACAAACCCTAAAATTTACATAAACCCCGCCCCTGGGAACGAGATTTATAGATTATCCTGACAGAATATGCTAATTAAGCTACATAAATTCATCAACTAACCAATCAAAAATATTGTCTACATGTTCTTGAGTCTCTCCATCTTTCTGACTCCGGTTTAAATATAAAAGGCTAAAAGTTGTAGAAATGTTCAGTGCATGTGTGTGTGTGTGAGTGCAAGCTCTTAAAGCTCCGCCCCCTGTGCCGGGAGCAGCAGCTCATTTGCATTTAAAGGGACACACACAGAAACGGTGTGTTTTTGCTCACCCTCAAAAAGTGACAACTTTAACATGCTATATAAAAATATCTGTGGGGTATTTAGAGCTAACACTTCGCACACACTCTAGGGGACATCAGAGATTTATCTTACATCTTGTGAAAAGGGCATTATACCCCCCCTTTCATGTTGTGTTGTCTCACCCTCTGCTGCTTTAGCGCTGATGTGGTTCTTTGTGAGCGTTGAACTCTGTAATTTCTCTTTAACGGCTTTCTCGGGATCGAACGCCTGTTCCGCCACTTCCTGAAGCTCCGCCCTCAGTGCCAGGGTGGTGTTTAGCTCCGCCCCTTCCTGAAGCTCCACCCTCTGTGCCAGAGTTGTGTTTAGCTCCGCCCCTTCTGTCAGCTGTCCATCACACACTCCGCTCGTAACCCGATCCCTCCCTTTAGCTGATTCATGACCTGAATAACAAGCACATGTAGACTCCATTCATGACACAACATGCAGAAATGAATCATTCCCAGAGCAAATGTGACCAAAAATGTGAACGATCTCAGTTTACAGAAGATTACCAAGCTGTAAATCTACTCTAGGGTGAATCTCCATTATTAGGAGCATTTTTTGCAGTACATTTGACATGATTTTCATGACAAAATAAACATTTGGTTTCCCTTGCATCTAATAATGACCCGTAATGTCTCATCAGAACGGCTGTGTTAGTTTAGTTTTACCGTGCTTGTCTTTGTTTTGAGGTTTCCGGGCTTGATTATTTCTGGGTTCTGGGATCACCGGATGAACGCTGCACTGCGGATTCACATTAAAACGCACCTGAAACACACACACACACACACACACACACACAATGTTACAAAGACATTTGCATAAATCTATCAGTTCATGCAATGACTGCGAATCAAACCAATAATAATAATAATACAAAGACATCACAATGACTGGATCCTTTAAGTTTCAAGTCATTTGTAGAGTTAAATAAATATGGAAAAGTGTCAACAGTAAAAAAATTTGGAAGAATGAGACACATGTTTACAGTAAATACATGCATGCAAATACATATTCTCCACAAATACAGTACGCATTAATAAAATGATAAATAACCCTGAATATTCCTTGAGGAAAGACACTACAGGTGAGCTTTAACTAACAGATGTGACCATATCTTCCCCAAGTTAATTAATCACAGTACTATAAGATGATTGAAACGTTTTCTCAAATGTTATGTTTAAATGTGCAAATGATGAGGCGTTATCTAATTAAATATGCTCTCATTTGCGTAAACGTCCAGAAAAAAATCTGAACATCGGATAAAGCCAGATTCAAAATTCTTGTTTGATTTTGTTTTCATATTAGAGTTAAAGGTTTTTACTGAAGGGATTTTGGATATCTCCTTTTATCTCTTCATAAACCAGAAAATACTGTCAATAGACAGAAAATAAAAATTTTCAGCATATATTTTATATAAACTGTTATAAAAACCAGTGTGAATGATATATGAACAAACCCTTCAGTAAAAACCTTCAGAATATAGATATGAATAAAACTGTAAAGTTTGGTGTGTGTAAGTACTGCCGAAGTGCTGGAAAAAACTCATTTATAAAAATATGGCCTTTAAAAATATGGATTATAATTGAAATCTTAAGGCGCAAATAGATAAAATGCAATAAAATAAACACTTAAAATTGCATTTTGGATGTTTTCTTTCCAGTAGTCTAAAAGAAGACTTTTAATCACCAAATTGACAAGTTCATGAGAAAAACAATGCACACACACACTGTGTGAGAGAGTGTGTGAGAGACTCTCTCACTCTCACACACACACTCTCTCTCTCTCGTACTCTCACATACACTCTCTCTTACTCTCACTCTCACTCTCTCTCTCTCTCTCTCTCTCTCTCTCTCTCTCTCTCTCTCTCTCTCTCTCTCTCTCTCTCTCTCTCTCTCTCTCTCTCTCTCTCTCTCTCTCTCTCTCTCTCTCTCTCTCTCTCTCTCTCTCTCTCATACACACACACACACACACACACACACACAGTAACTGTGAAATCAAACCCTACAGCATCATCTAGTGGAGACACAGAACTACCAGTGAAACGGGTTTATCTATCTCCTGTTGAAACATGTCTGTGGTGTATATTTATCCTTTAGTGAAACCTGTCTGCGGTGTGTGTCTGCTGTCCGCTCGGGGGTGAGAGAGACAGACAGGTCCAGGTCGGGACAGATCAGTTCTGTGTCCTGAACCGGCTCGACCCGCAGAGGTTCAGGAGCCACACGAACATGAGGTTCTCCTGACGACCATGAGGTTCTCCTGACGACTCCATCACACATCAGTCTGACAGAGACAGAGACATCATCAACACAATATACACAGAAGTATCACTCGCACACTATTATTAATAATACATATATAGCACCAGTCAAAAGAAACATTAAGATTTTTTTATGTTTTTGAAAGAAGTCTCTTAAGCTCATCAAGACTATATTTATTTTGATTCTAAACAGTAATATTGTGAAATTTTATTACAATTTAAAATAACTGTTTTCTATGTGAATATATAGTAAAGTGTAATTTATTCCTGTGATCAAAGCTGTATTTTCAGCATCATTACTCCAGTCTTCAGTGTCACATGATCCTTCAGAAATCACTCTAATATGATGATTTTGTACTCAATTATTAGGCCTATTGGTGCTCAATATTAAATAATGGTTCTTATTTTATATCAGTGTTGAAAACCATTTTCGCATGTTTAATATTTTTCCGGAAACTGATACATTTTTGTTTATGGATTCTTTGATGAATAGAAAGGTGAAAAGAGCAGCGTTCATTTAAAATAGAAATCTTTTGTAACAATATAAATGTCTTTACGGTCTCCTTTTGTAAATTAAATGCAAGGACACATTTAATTGTATATATATATATATATATATATATATATATATTTTTTTTTTTTATTATATATATGACTAACGCCCAAACCTTTGAATGGCAGTGTATCACAGTTTCCACAAAAAAAGATATATGAAGCAGCACAATTGTTTTCAATATTGATAATAATCAGAAATGTTTCTTGAGCACCATTAATAATACTTACACAGACAGACAGACTTACTTACTTACTTACTTACTTACACACACACACACACACACACACACACACACACACACACACACACACAACGATCACAACTGATTGTTTACTTTTGTGCTTCGCAATATACCATGAAATATGATGAACAGATTCTCTATATTTTGTTTATAAAGATTACAGTGACAATTTGCAGGATCACATGTATAAACAAAAGTTTTAAACCGCCATTAAATCATTAGAACAACAAGTTCGATCTGAATGTAAACATGAAAACACACTTTTAACTTACCCTTAATTTCACAAAATCACGTCAGCTGTTGCGCCAAATAATACATTGCCTCACGGTTAAATATGCGACAGTCAATACAGAAAATATCTAATATGACAAAAATTAAAACTCCCTCCACAGCTGCCGCTCGCAGGCGTACTTCCGGGTGGAGGTGACGTCACTGGGCATGCGCACTGATAGCCTTTCGCACAAGAGACTGTAGACATACCACCACACAAACATGTTTAAATACACCCAACACGAAGATATGAACACATTTATTTACTATTAATATATATAACACACAAAAGAGATGTAAAATAATTGCTGTACTTTGAGCTGTTCATGTCCAATAGAAACCTGCAGTGGTCACGTGGTACACAGTCGTAGCTCAATTACGAGTCTAAAGTTGTAATTACGAGTTCGATGATCACGTGAATGCTCTTTACAAGTCAGAATAGTAAAGGTAATTACGACTTGGCGTGAACGCACCTATATTAATACAGAGGAATATGTACACTTCTCTCAAAAAAGCACATTTACATGTGAATTATGGAGGAAGAAACATCATACAAGTGAACAATAAGAGTGGAAGTCAATATGTATTTATTTAGTTAAACTGCATGTCCAACCACATATTTCAAAAAGCCTTTCACTTGTTTATTATGTGACAAGCTTCCAGTAAATGCAGTTAAAACTCAATCAATTATAATTGAAACATTCTCATCTTATTCTCTTAAACAATTTTGCTTTTTAAAGTGCCCTGGCTGCAGTCAATAATTCCATCCTTAAAATATCAATTTTTAATAATTAAAATGAGATATTTAAACGTTTGTTACTTGAAAAAAAATTCTGCATGCCTTAAAATATCTTGACTGTAACTCGACACCTTTCCCCCATTTAGTATAGCCTACGCGGTTCTATGAATATGCAAATGAGCCCCGCCTCCACTCACTCACTCAGCTCAGAGATCCACTGGTTGACGATCACACGTTGATCTGATTGGTTACAAGGTCGTTTGTGACGTCAGAAACACCAGCGATTTCAAACCGTGTTTTTGAGACTGTCTTTGGTCACTGCAGTTTTAAGCAGAAAATACTCAGCAATGCTGTCGACTTATGAACTTACACATGGTGTGTCTTAAAGCATATTAAAACACCATATAGACACATAAACAACATTAAAAGCTGATTTTCACCACAGGGGGGCTTTAAGCAAATCCATCTTGTTTTAAGGATGTTTTAATATTTTTATTTTGTTTTTGCAGTGACATCAGCACACAGCCAGAGTAGTGAGAGTTATTTATTAGAGCGCATAATGCATATTACAGATCAAATCATTATTTATCTAACAGAGAGGGACTAAACTAGTCTTTCATCTGCCAGTGGTGGTCAACGTAAAGAGACTCATTAACCTAGACGTGAACAGTGCTTTAAAACTAACACACACACACACACACACACACACACTGACAGTAATAAATAGGCACTGTTTAGAACGTCATTAAAATCAACATTATGTAATTATCTTGCAATCTCTTTATTAGAGCATGTGAGCAGCGCTATCAGTCGTTACTGGTGTTTAAGGCACTAATTGGTCAATACGGCACACGCGTCTCCTCCTCCGGTCATTTCATGCTTTCTTCCCTTTTTCCTGGGCACTTTCTCTTCGGACTACATCTCCATGATGCACTGGGGTTAGAGTGCTGCGTTTGGCTCAGTCTCTGTCCCTGAGGGCTCGGAGGATGTAGTTTTCTCTCTCCAGTTGAGCGTTTCTCTCCGCCAGCTCTTTAATCTGTTCTCTCAGCACCTCCACCTCCTCTCGCACCGCCAACATCAGGTGAGACTTCACCAGGTCCTGCACACACACACACACACACACACACACACACACACACACACACACACATGCATTTAGCACATGCTTGATCTTTACTTTTTGAGCTGCACATTATATTATCACACACACACACACTCTCTCTCTCTCTCTCTCTCTCTCTCTCTCTCTCTCTCTCTCTCTCTCTCTCTCTCTCTCTCTCTCTCTCTCTCTCTCTCTCTCTCTCTCCTCTCTCTCTCTCTCTCTCTCTCTCTCTCTCACACACACACTCTCTCGGTCTCTCTCTCTCTCTCACACACACACTCTCTCGGTCTCTCTCTCTCTCTCACACACACACACACACACACACACACACACACACACACACACACACACACACACACACACACACACAGACTCTCTCTCTCTCACTACACACACACACGCACACATACTGTAAAATGATCTCACCATGGCTTGCTCTATCTTGTTATCGATGGCGATCATACTGCTGTTAGTTCCACTGCAACAGAGACAGAAGGCAATGTTTATTAATCACTAACCTAACTAATTGGCAAGTTGCTAGACGGTTCCTTGGTGGTTTCCAAGCTGTTTCTAGGCTGTTTCGAAGTCGTTGCTATGCTGTTTCTAGGCCATTTCTAGGTCGTTTCTTGGCTGTTTCTAAGAGTTTTAGGCTGTTTCTAGGTAGTTTATATGTGGTTACTAAGGCGTTTCTAGGCTTATTCTAGCTAGTTTCAGGCAGTTTCTAGGTGGTTTCTAAGGAGTTACTAGGCTAATTCTAGCTAGTTTCTAGTCTGTTTCTAGGTGGTTTCTAAGGAGTTTCCAGACTGTTTCTAAGTGGTTTCTAGAAAAGGCTTGGGTCCATCCTTCAATGTGCATCTGTGTTTTTTTTTTTAAATTTGCTTCTGTTTTTTTTAGGACTCAAGTCTTTCCTTCCCTCTAGTAATACTGGACTGAACAGCAGCCCTGAAGGTCTCGACGAGAGCGCTGTACTGTATGTGTGTAACACTGATGCTATTGTTCTGAATAAGGTGGCAGCAAAAGCTTCTCACAACAGCCAGCTTGAGGAAAACACAACCATTTCCACGACCACAAACACATCATAAACATCTGACAGGATGAATGAAAACCTCAAGAAACACGATTCAGTTCAGACGCACACAAACTGAACATGACCGAACTAACCCAGTTACCAGAGGAGGAAAAGCCGACGGGAAAGGAGGGTTGCTGGGCTGTTGCCACATGGATTCCAGGTGGTTTTTTCTAGGCCTCTTTTTTTCTGGATGGTTTCTAAATGTTTCTTGGCTGTTTCTAGGCGGTTTCTATGCTGTATTTCAAGGTGGTTTCTAGGCTGTTACTAGGTGGTATCAAGGCTGTTACTAGGCTGTTACTAGGTGGTATCAAGGCTGTTACTAGGTGGTTTCTAGGCTGTTTCTAAGCTGTTACTAGGTGGTTTCTAGGCTGTTACTAGGTGGTATCAAGGCTTTTTACTAGGCTGTTACTAGGTGGTTTCTAGGCTGTTAGTAGGTGGTTTCTAGGCTGTTAGTAGGTGGTTTCTAGGCGTCTTTTTTTTCTGGATGGTTTCTAAATGTTTCTTGGCTGTTTCTAGGCGGTTTCTAGGCTGTTACTAGGGTGTTACAAGGTGGTTTCTAGGCTTTTTTTAAGTGGTTTCTAGGCGGTTTTCTTGGTGGTTTCTAGGCTGTTTCTAGGCATTTCTCAGGCTGTTTCTAAGCATTTGTAGGCCGTTTCTTGGTGGTTTCTAGGCTTTTTATAAGTGTTTCTCTAGGTGGTTTCTAGGCTGTTTCTAAGCATTTGTAGGCCGTTTCTTGGTGGTTTCTAGGCGGTTTACATGCGTTTTTTTAAGGTCGTTTCTAGAGTGTTTTGAGGCAGGTTTTCTAGGCTGTTTCTAAGCCGTTTCTAGTCAGTTTTCTGGCCGTATCTAGCCGAATTCTAAGCATTTCTAGGCTGTTACTAGGCTTTTTCTAAGCGTTTTCGAGGTGGTTACTATGCTGTTTCTATCTGGTTTCTAGTCAGTTTTCTGGCAGTTTCTAGATACGGCTCAAGTCCCTCCTTTATGAGTGTCTGTGGGTTTTTGTCACCAGTTTTCTGGCCCAGCAGGTGAAAATGATGCACCTGATCACTTAGTGGACAGCACATGATTCTCAAAACACCCAGCTTGATGGAAACACACTAAAGGGCGACACTCTCCATACATAATAATACAACACAGCCGTCTGAAAGAATGAATGAAAACGTATTGCATGAGCCTAACTAACCCAGTTACCTGTGGAGGAAAAGCAGAAGCGAAAGGAGGGTGGAGTCAGAGGGGCGGAGCCTGTGTTTGTGCGTAAGAGCTCCGCCTCTCTTTTCTCTCACAATGGAAGTCAATGAGTCCCACTCGGGATTCTGACATATCTGATCGCGAACACTGGACTGGCAGGACGATCCGAAACGAACAGACCTGGGATTATTTCCCGAGCGCTGTGTCTGAGAGTGGCCAGCAGGGGGAGCTGTGTCTGTTTCTGTGGAGGAGATGCTGGGTTTCGATGTGGAGTTTCTGCCTGGTTTGTTTCTGGATGACGTATGCGGAAAGCGCTTGCTGCTGATTGGCTGTTTGGTTTCCGCGGAAAGCGCTAAGCATCCAGCCCTCGGATAGTAATCAAGCTTCCCGATTGGCCAAGAGTCACGAACCCTTCGAGCTCCACCAGTCACATTCGTTTCTCCTGCATGGAGGCGTGGCCGACAAATCACAGTTGAATGGGCGGGGCTTAAACATGAGGGGTGTGGCTTAGAGTCAGCTGAGGATCCATCAAGAAGGATCGGATTCTCTGTTTGTGTCTGGTCATTGGAAACACATGGAGGAAGTGATAAAGGACGAGGCTGTTTTTTACTCTCAAAAATGGAGATCATCTTACGAACACTAACAAACATGGTGGGGATTCGGGAGGTGCAAAAACACACATCAAAAGGAAACTCAATCACGTACGCGTTTTCTTCAGGCGCCGTCAGGAAGAGGCATCATGCAATCGTTTCCTTTGACCTCGTTCAGAAACATCCGGAGAGGATCTGACTCACTCAGTGACATGAAACTGTAACAATTACTGTTGCACATCAGTAGAACAAGAGTGACCTTTACTATGGTGAAGCCCAGGGTTATTATAGTTCACTAAAACCACGGCAACAAAAGAAAGGTTTGTTACGTGAAACTTTAGCTGAAAAACTTCAACTTTATTTCAGCTAGTTGCCAAGTTAAGATTTCTATTTTTCATTTAGTTTAACTATTAAAGTCCCCCTGTAGTCCATCATTTTAGCCCTTAAAACTCATCTTTGATCACCAAAATGACATATTTAAAAAAAAAAAGTCTTCATGCCTTAAAATAACTTGAATGTAACTCAACACCTTTCCCTCATTTAGTATTCGCGGTTCTATGAATATGCAAATGAGCCCCGCCTCCACTCACTCACTCAGCTCAGAGATCCACTGGTTGACGATCACACGTTGATCTGATTGGTTACAAGGTCGTTTGTGACGTCAGAAACACCAGCGATTTCAAACCGTGTTTTTGAGACTGTCTTTGGTTCACTGCAGTTTTAAGGAGGAAATACTCAGCAATGCTGTCGACTTATGAACTTACACATGTGTGTCTTAAAGCATGTTAAAAACACCACATAGACACATAAACAACATTAAAAGCTGGATTATCACCACAGGGGGACTTTAAAGTTATTAAAAATGTTGTTAACATAAATAAATCTGAATATTAAATGAACAACTGAATGAAAATGATCAAATGTTTTCTTTGGCAACTAACCCGAAATAAGTTTAAGTTGAAGCACTAAAATTGCAAACTAGAAAATAAATAAAACCTAAAACTGAATAAATATTAATTAAATCTCAATAAAAAAACAAAAGCACATGACAGATTAACTAAAATGAACTGAAAACTCTAGGTATGAAAATAATAGGTAATTCAAGCTATAATAGTATAAAATTAATACTGCAATAACACTGACTACAAAAAAGACTGCAGGGAACGAATCCAGGAATCGTTAATTTCACAAAAAAACGATTTCCAAACCATTATATGAGAGCTGTGTGCAATCGAATTTCTCAACAAAAAAAAAATATTCACACTAAACCGCAGCTGAGCTTCTAAAAAATGTAGTCAAGTTACTAGCGTGTTTTAGTTGGTCTGTAATCTCCATGAGACCTCAATAACGTTCCTTCATTTCCATCACCAGACCTCCGTCCATTGTGCTGTAATCCGTCAAACTGGCCCAATCCAAGCCAAATCCCGGGATTAGTGTAATCTGGGGAGAAAGTCCACCTGTCTGACCCGTCATCTCACCGATCTCCAGGACACTGTGGATGTCTGCAGGCCCACAGGACTGTTTTCACATGTTAATATGTACAGTGGAACGCACGCATCAACACTGCACTCTTTGATTCTGGTCTCCGCCCACTTTCCGTCGCAGCCAATCACGTCTCACGCTGGGATTCTGTGCCCGCCCACACGGCTCCCAGCATTCCACACTCCACCCACCGGCACACACGAACACAGGCTGCATACTAATTCACATACTATCCGTCATAAACATTGCAATTAGTGTGGCTGAAATCATAGTATTTCAGAGGAAACTAGTGTTTCTACTAGAGATGCTCGATATATAGGCTGATACACACTACCAGTCAAAGGTTTATATACTGTGTATATATATATATATATACACACACACATATATACACACTACCAGTCAAAGGTTTATATATATATATATATATATATATATATACACACACATATATACACACACTACCAGTCAAAGGTTTATATATATATATATACACACACACATATATACACACTACCAGTCAAAGGTTTATGTTTATATATATATATATATATATATACACACATACACACACACACACATATATATACACACTACCAGTCAAAGGTTTATATATATATATATACACACACACACATATATACACACTACCAGTCAAAGGTTTATATATATATATATACACACACACATATATACACACTACCAGTCAAAGGTTTATATATATATATATATATATATATATACACACACACACACACATATACACTCACCGGCCACTTTATTAGGTACACCTGTCCAACTGCTCGTTAACACTTAATTTCTAAGCAGCCAATCACATGGCGGCAACTCAGTGCATTTAGGCATGTAGACATGGTCAAGACAATCTCCTGCAGTTCAAACCGAGCATCAGTATGGGGAAGAAAGTTGATTTGAGTGACTTTGAACGTGGCATGATTGTTGGTGCCAGAAGGGCTGGTCTGAGTATTTCAGAAACTGCTAATCTACTGGGATTTTCACGCACAACCATCTCTAGGGTTTACAGAGAATGGTCCGAAAAAGAAAAAACATCCAGTGAGCGGCAGTTCTGTGGGCGGAAATGCCTTGTTGATGCCAGAGGTCAGAGGAGAATGGCCAGACTGGTTCGAGCTGATAGAAGGGCAACAGTGACTGAAATAACCACTCGTTACAACCGAGGTATGCAGCAAAGCATTTGTGAAGCCACAACACGCACAACCTTGAGGCGGATGGGCTACAACAGCAGAAGACTCCACCGGGTACCACTCATCTCCACTACAAATAGGAAAAAGAGGCTACAATTTGCAAGAGCTCACCAAAATTGAACAGTTGAAGACTGGAAAAATGTTGCCTGGTCTGATGAGTGGCGTAAACAGAATGAGAACATGGAACCATCATGCCTTGTTACCACTGTGCAGGCTGGTGGTGGTGGTGTAATGGTGTGGGGGATGTTTTCCTGGCACACTTTAGGCCCCTTAGTGCCAATTGGGCATCGTTTAAATGCCACGGCCTACCTGAGCATTGTTTCTGACCATGTCCATCCCTTTATGGCCACCATGTACCCATCCTCTGATGGCTACTTCCACCATGTCACAAAGCTCTAATCATTTCAAATTGGTTTCTTGAACATGACAATGAGTTCACTGTACTAAAATGGCCTCCACAGTCACCAGATCTCAACCCAATAGAGCATCTTTGGGATGTGGTGGAACGGGAGATTCGCATCATGGATGTGCAGCCGACAAATCTGCGGCAACTGTGTGATGCCATCATGTCAATATGGACCAAAGTCCCTGAGGAATGCTTCCAGCACCTTGTTGAATCTATGCCACGAAGAATTGAGGCAGTTCTGAAGGCAAAAGGGGGTCCAACCCGTTACTAGCATGGGGTACCTAATAAAGTGGCCGGTGAGTGTATATACACACTACCAGTCAAAGGTTTATATATAATATATATATATATATACACACACACATGTATACACACTACCAGTCAAAGGTTTATATATATATATACACAGACACACACACACACATATACACACTACCAGTCAAAGGTTCTGGATCGGGAGGATTTTTAATGTTTTTAAAAGAAGTCTCTTCTGCTCACCAAGGCTGCATTTATTTAATAAAAAAAAAACAAATAAAAAAAACGAATATTGTGAAATATTATTCCAGTGTAAATCATCTGTTTTCTATTTGAATATATAGTAAAGTGTAATTTATTCCTGTGATCAAAGCTGTATTTTCAGCATCATTACTCCAGTCTTCAGTGTCACATGATCCTTCAGAAATCACTGAGGATCTGATGCTCAAGAAAAATTAAGCTTTGATCACAGGAATAAATTACACTTTAAAATATAGAAAAAATAGAAAATCGTTATTTTAAATTGTCATAATATTTAACAATATTACTGTTTTTTTTTTGTATTTTTAATCAATTAAATGCAGCTTTGGTGAGCAGAAGAGACTTCTTTTAAAAACATTAAAAATCTTACCGAATCAAAACTTTCGACTGGTAGTATATGTTCATTTTTAATATTAGTTATTGAAAATGTTCAAAATTTTAAAGCCAATAAAT